CGAAATAATAAAGCAGCAGAGGACATTAAACCTGTACAAAGAAGTAAAAGAAACTCCTGGTATGGCAGAATATCTAGAGAAAGTATCAGAAAGGGATAGAACCTTAGCTGTATTTCGACTAGGCATATATAAATGGAGAACGAGAAATTGGGAATACAAATGTCCTTATTGTTGGAAAGCGGAAGATGACTACCATGTATTGTTAGAGTGCGAAGCATATGTGAGCATAAGGAAAAGCTATCTGAGCAAGTATTTTTGGAAATCCCCAAGTAAATATAAACTGAAGCAACTGTTTGCTAAAGATAACTGTGCACGGATTTGGAGCTCACTGGCTGAATGTATTCGAGAAATATTAGAAAAAAAGAGAAAACCATCCCATGCTGGCAGCATATACAGATCATCCCTGAAGGGTAAAATAAATAAAATGAATTAAAAAGATGACGTAAAGATATGAAATTATGGTATTACAGCATGTGCTGAATTACCTGAATAAACTGATTCGATTCGATTTTGATTTTGAGTTTCCCCTGCGATTAGAAAGCGGAGACGCAAGCGCGGCCTACGAACAAGCGATCGTCTCTCGTCACCTTGCAGAACTCGAGGGAGACGGAAGAGTTCCCCGTTTCACGACTCGTCGAAGCCGATGGAACGAAATCGTGCGTCGTGCACCCGTACTTCGTTTCGAGTCGATCGAGCGTTGGATTCTCCATGACGAGAATACAGTCACCCGCGTCACTCCCTACTGGCGGCCTGTGACCGCAGTTGTGACCTTCTGCCCGAGGACCTTTACCCTTTTTTTTTATAACGGCTCATCGACTTAGAACAGTTTTAGCCAGATTTCCGCTGCCAAAGTTTGATCTGCAGTTCATGATGTAACACATATGCATCGGAGATGCCGAGGCACAGCGTGCTACACCTGCCGCCATGTGTAAAGTAAGCAAATGCGATAGGAAAAATGAAAATCAAGATTTGCGACGCACGTAGGAATGAAATAGAAAGGTGATCTCATGAACAAATATAGTCCAGACAAATGGATTTGACAACCAAAAAGGACTTCCTCGTATACCACGTTGTCGATAACGGTGCCAGCATCCGTTTTGCCTTGCTTCGGTCCATCGATGACTTGAATTTTCAGCGAGAGCAAAACTCGCGAGCAAGCAACGAATAATTCGCCGCGTTGTAATCCTCGATAGCATTCGACACGCAACTCTTGGTGCTTCTTTACGAAGTGGAGACGATCAGATTCGACCGTGGCACGAGCATGCACGATGGAAGAGTTTCCCCGCACTGAAGTGGGGCGAATACATGACGCCGAACGGCAAGTTTGTGTGCATGGAACCGTAGCATCGTGACGGCATCGGGTTGCCGAGTTGCGAAACCGGGACGATGTTGCATGCCGGTCGTCCGGCCGGGTTCACCCGATAAGAATGAAAGAGGAAACACCACGGGATCGAGATGTCGCGATGACACGTCGATGCGCTCAAATGTTCGCTCGTGGTTTGGATGCATTCACGTTGTCGGGCACATGACCTTCTCGATGGGTGACAAATATCAGGGTAATTTCATCTGCGCTAGTAGGAGCGTCGTGTCGCCTTCTGTCATCGCTAAACCAGCGTGGGAACGGTAGTCTGATATCGTGTAGTTTGCCCACCGTTCGGTCTCACACGGGCTTCTTCGTCGCGTGCCGCTTCGTTCGATCTTTTATACCGTTCAGCGTACGGACTCGCTCGACGCAACACTCGCTCGATGGTCGACATCACTTCTCGTCGACGGCGTATATTCGACGAATGTTGCGTACGCATTTCGACCGCTTCGGTCGCATCGTGAACATGGCGGTCCACCCGAGGACGGGCGATCGCCGATCTCGATTTAGCGGAGGAACGACGTAAAAAAAGGCGGTCGGTTGGTCGTAGCCCGATGATAGACCGAGCCGATCATTTTGAAGCAGAACGGACCGCTATCGGAAATGTCGACGATCGTCGAACCAAAAGAAGTAAACGCGTTTGCCTGATAAACTCGCAAAAATTGCGAGTTAGCATCTTCCCCCCATCGATAGCGTTTTCGACTCCAGCGGATACTCCAATGGGTTCGTGGAACACCTTACCATCGCGACGACAATCGTGCCGAAGTTTGCCTTTCTCCGCCTCAAAACGAACGGCCCACCAGTTTTCGACAGAGCATTCCACATTCGTAGGCCCAATATCATGCGGAACGGGTGGAACGAAGTTGGGCGTCCCGGCGACTGCAGCAAGAGTGCGAGTCGATGGTTCGACGCGTACACGCGCTGCTCTCCGCGCAGCGTCGACAGCATCGCGTCGTGCCGTAGTAAACGCAACCGGGTGTTGCCTCCATTCGGCTCTTCTCTCTTCGTGAATATCGGCACGTTGCCGACTGGAGATTGCAGATCTTCGTTGCCTCGCCGCTCCCGTTCCGAGGGAAAGTCAGATTTTTCCAAGTTTAGCCATCTAAACCATGCCGCCAAGCAAACGAACTCGTAGGCAGAAGCTTTCAATCCTCTCCACCGAACGACGAAACGTGCCCAGCCCGTGACCGGTATAAGCTCCTAGGCCTCTAAACGGAACGATCGACCTTCGCATCGCGATAAGCCTATGCCCTGGTAAGGTAAAAACCCTTCTAGGCGACTCGGCTGAAGGAACCACGAAATGCGCTTAACCTATGACCCGAAAAGCCAGGGCTTCTAGGCCGTTCGGCCAAAAGAACGAACCACGAAACGCGCCTAGAACACGACCTGGAGAAGCACGAGTTTCGAGGGCCTCTCGGCTACACAAACGAACAACGAAATGCGCTTAGCTCATGACCCTGAAGGGGAAAGACTTGTAGGCCATCGACTACACGAACCAGGAATCGACCTCGCGTATTCTAATATATCATAGTATGAATGGATGGATGTGTTTCTTCGTGTTCAACTTCTCCTCACGTCGGAGGCCTCCGAAACTTCATTCCCTTTGGCACAATAACGCCTTGGGCATTATTTTCCCTTAAGCCATTCCCTTCGTGATCCTTCCCCCCCCCCACCCCCACCCCCTTTGTCGCATCAAAAATCTTGTCGTTTTCACCTCTCATCTTTCTCATTCATGGGTTTCGATGGTCTGTGTTTATCTGCGTTAAGGAGTTGCCCCGTACCGAATTTCCACCAGCTTCAAAGCGAGAGTTCGTGGCAACTCGATCGTTCTTCTTGGAGAAAATGCTTTCAAAACCAAACCGGTGCTCGTATGAACGAGTCGACACGGCCATTCCTCGGTCAACAAAATGAAATCGACGTCCTCGGGACCAATTGCACGTGCATGCTTTTTCATCTCTATTTCCAATAAATCGATGCTCTTCCCACACCTCACATGGGTGAGAAAGTCACTCGAAATTACAAGTAATTAGACACGGAACAGAGATCTTCTCGTGATCAAAATCGAGTATGGAGAAGGAAGCGAGGAAGAGACATACTGACGTTGGAATGGCCAGTGATAGAGGAGATGCCACTTGTAAAATTCCCACAATTGCAAATCCGAAAGCATGTCTCTTGCAAGACACCCTGCTTTTATAAATATATATATATAAAAGGAGGGATTCAAATAGGACGAACTAAAATTATACACATAAATATCAGCATGGCAATGATAGGTGAACACTGAGAATGTACGTCGATTGCAGAGGATATGAATTTCGTACCGTCGAACAGCTATGAGGATACGATTAGAAGAATCACGAGAGCGATCATATCATGAATAGAAGGTGAGGACGGAAGTCTGATTCCCCCTGACGAGGAGGAACGGAGGCATGTCCCTGGTCAGCGTCTCCAGCCAGGCCATGTACAGCGGGGCCGACACCATCCCCTTTCGAGGCATCGGCAGGGTCCTGAGGGGGAGATGCAGCCTGGCGGTAATGAGTCGTGGCCTCGAATCGCTCGGATGTATTCGCATACGATTTCTTTAACGGTTCTTCATCTGCCAGAATCTACTCGTTTCATGTACCGTCGCTTTTGGTGTCCGATTTGCTTCATTATTTTAATATAAATTATGCTTCGTACAGCGTGGAGACTCACATAACGACGAAGCAGGCATCGCGAGAATGTTCCATAAGCAACTCGCGTAGCCTCAATTGCCGATTCGTCTTGTCCTTCATCTTCTGATATTCTGCCTCTGGAATGTAGGTCCCTGCCGGTGCCACCAACAGACCACGACGATAAGGGTCGTCGAGTAACGAGACGAGAAAGAAGAGAATCGCGGTTCCTCACCTGCTGTCCGCGATTCCTCGGCCCTCTCCCTGAAAGGCTGTATGAGGGCGTTGAATTCTTGGCGAGTGCTGTCAGCTGCCTTCCTCTGGACGTCGGGAATCACGACCACGTCGCTGCAGTCGATGCGGAACTTGCTCAGCAGCGCCGCCATGCTGAAATCGCGGTGAGAGTCTGCACTCGCAGATATACATAGACACGAGAAGCAAACCGAAAAAGAAACCTTCTCTGCTCGTGTTCGAGTTCTCCTACAGAGGTAGCGAGACAAAAGACGCGGAGGGAGGCAGAGGAGAACTGCCTCCTCCGAGTCAGGATGTACGGGATGAGGATGGTGAGCCCCCCGTCGTCGTACAGCCACCAAACATCGATCCGCTCTCCCTTCTTCACCGGCTGGCGGAAGTGGGTGAGGCCGTCCAAGATGTTCCTCGGCAGGGAGAACCCTCCGATCCCTCGGTACATGACGCTATAGGAAATTTTTCCGCTCTTGCGCGATTTCTTGGCCGACTTTTTATGCTGTTCCCGATCCTCTGTGGATGTCGACCATGCCTCTGATTCACCCAGCGCTGAAGACAAAGAAAAGAAATTTGACGACGAAATTTGAAACGCACAAAGTAATCTCGACAATAAATATGGTCTCCAGCCTGCGTCTCCGTTCGGATAAGTACTCGATCTGGGAATCCCCGTCACTAACATCCGGCATCACTCTGATCGGCTTCCGATCTGGCCAAAACTCCGTGAACTTACAGGCATCAAAACATCCGGACAATATCTCGGGCTTCTCGCTGCAATCCGCAACCTCCTCGACGTAGTCGGAAAAATCGAGTCCACCCTGGAGTCTGAGTATTCCCACAGCCATGCAGTTGTCGAAGGCGTCACTGCAAAGCCACACAGACGACTTCAGCCTCATCCTTCAAACCGACTTCCTGTCGGCATTTTGGGAGGGAGGAGGAACGGGATGGATTCTGACTGGAGGACGTTGAAGTATTGAAGAGCGGCAAGAGGATCGCCCTCGTCCCAGTTGGCCTTGTACCCCAAGAGGACCATGTTGGGGTGGAGTTTACCCAGCCCGGACAGTTGGAAGAAGGCCCTAGCGCCCACGTCGAAGCGGTCGCTCTCGACCACGTCGTAAAATCCTTTGATGTGATGACGCTCCAACCAGGCGTATCCCCTCTGAATGAGGGAGGCTCGTTCGTTGTACTTGATCGGACCCTTAACGACGTTCCCAGAGACGAGGAGAGCCGAAGACTTGGTGAGGAGATACGTGAAGTCCATGAGGGAAGGTCGATTGCTCGGATGGCCGGCCAGGACCAGGACCTGGGGTCGGTACGTCTTCACGTGGTCCTCCACCTGGTTCGAGACTTGAACGTACCTCAACGCATTCATGCTCACGGCCGCCTGTGTACTCGAACCCCAGTTTGCATCTGCGTCCACGAAGAACGTCAAAGCAAAGAATTTCAACACGTCGAACTAATAATGGTGACATCGAAAACATCGACACGACGCGGACCGACCCGGTCGCCTGTAGGAGACGTAGAGGTAAAGGATGATGACGACGGCGAAGGTGGCGAGAGCGACGTCCCATTGGATGAGAAACATCACGACCGCACAAAACCCCGTCCCAAACAGACTACACCACTGATTGTAGAACTGTAACAGAAGCACGAGGCATGGGTTCCAACTCTCTTCGCCAGTCTGTATACTCTTCATTGTTTCCTGCTCTTTCTCACCTTGAAGGCCGGACGCCAGCCTGGATACTTGGTGAAGCTGGAGTGGAAGGCGGAGAAGTTGATGAGTCCGTAGGCTGCAAGGAAGAAATTCACCTGCAGGGTCGCCACGGCATTCAGATCCGCTGGAGGAGGAACGTGTACAAGAATATGAGGATAGGTGCCATACATCATCTACACAGCTCTGCCAGTTCGGGAGAGTCCTTTTACATGGTAGAATCAATGTCAGCAGCAGTCTACTTTCCCTGCCAGATATCTCGATTACTTGGAATCAATTATTAATGCTTGACTTTTCAAGTCCTCCGGATGGAGACCCTGTGTTTCAGGTTTACATTAGTTGTTTTACTAGTAGATCATGCGGGAGCGTGTTACGGGCCTTTTGCTAGGTGTTCGGAATATACAGGGTGGTCCAAAGGTCTCCATACATAGGGAAAATTAACACCTTTTAACATAACTTTTAACTTTATTCGCAAAATATGCTCTACATGGTTGCCAATACTTTGAAAACACATACGGATGCGACACTCCCATTCATGGTGAACTCGCGTTAATACATCTGGTTATTATGTTATGTTAAAGTTACACTTTTTTAAAAAGTGTTAATTTTTCCTACGTATGGAGACTTTTGGACCACCCTGTATACATGATTTAGTAAGCTACCTGGTGGAGAAGATTGAAAGTCCAGGTTTGAACCCATCTTACCTGATACCCCCCTTTAGTCCCTAAGAATTCGGAGAACTCGATTTGAACCATGTGGTAACTCTGGGTATCATCTACCTCGATTCGGCATTCAAAGCTGGTTTATTTTTTACGTCTCCTATCTAAAGAGAGAATCGCTTTGTCCTCCATACTGAGTTCCCTATCGTGGGAGCCTGGCTCGCTACCAACTGCCAGTCACCTGCGGCTTGTAGACTCTACATTCGAAACAAGATCAAAGTAAGGAGAGACGCAAGAAGTGATAGGAATGGATTCACCGATGAGGATGCAGGCAATGGTGACAACGAAGCAGGCGATGTATCCCCTGAAAGGATCGTTGTTGGGTCCGTGTCCGATCGCAAAGAAGTGGAGGCCCGGGTACAGCCTGTCCTTGGCCAATGCCTATCAGACATAAAGGAATCAGAATGTGTTTCTCTACGCGATCTCGTTCTCTCTCTCGTCCATCTTGCAGGCGGGTTGCATTTCGGTTGTGATCCAGGGCACAACTCGAGGTTCGTGGGCGTGCTCTCAGGAATACCACCATTCAATTTTGCTCACGTGGACGACCTCGACTCTGGTGCCAAGAGACTGCTTCACTAAGCTGCCTCTTGGCACCCGAGTCGCCGGAGATACCACCCAGGCCTCAAACCAAGGACGTAGTTCACAGCCGAACGCGCCCACCGCGAATCTCAACCTGGAAGACGCGAGGTCCTCCAGTGATGCTCGCAATGGCAGAGGACAGGGTAGCGGCAAAGCATCCTCCATAGATGAGTGGACCCCAAGCAGACATGATGGTCATCATCTGGCTGCTCTGCAGCAGGCCCCATTTGCAGTCTCTCCCAGTGCAGTTGAAGGCCGGATGAAGGTACAAGCTGGTGGGGTTATCGAGGAGTTCCTCTGGGTCACCGGAGGCCATTCGGACCGAACACGACCCCGCCATCACTCCATATCCGAGGTAGGTCAGGAACGTGATGAATACGGCGATGAGGGTTCCCTTTGGGATCGCCGATATGGGGTCCTGCAATATTCCTCAAATCTCTTCATCTCAGGTCATTCGTTCCCAAACTCGATCAGTTGGAAATCATTCACCGCTGAAAACCCTTTGGTTGGCCTAAGCATTGGAATCAAATTCTCCATAACGATGATCGCGATCGCAGCTCAAAATGGAACGAAAAAGTCGAAGAGCAACCGCAGCCGTGACAGACCTTGAGGTCTCCAGACATGTTAGCACCCGCAACGATGCCCGTGACGGCAGGGAAGAAGACGCCGAAGACGGAGAAGAATCCCTGGTCCGATTTGTCGACCCCCGACGGCCCATATGCGCTGCGCCAGTTCTGAGCGAAAATCTCCCCTAAACGCAGCCAGAAACACGTGTGAAATCGGAAGTTCCCCGAAAATTCCCTCCGAAAGACGCGCATGAAGACCTTGGTATCCGACGAAGCCCTTGGCGACGATTTCCCTGGAACTGGGCCCCATGAAACTCCCCACGATGAAGTCCACCTGGGCCGCCGTGAGGATCAGCAGCAACGCAAACTGTGCCTGGAATCACGAGAATTTCAATGCGCTTCTCGGAACGAAATAATCCTCTTTTGAGATCTGAGCGAAGGATCGTTTGAACGAATTCATTCACAAATATGAGGAAACAAGTCAAGGTCTCATGCCATGAAACAATTTCAGCGAGTTGTGAAGAATGTTCTGGGCAACGATGTCAGCACGAGACTCGAGAAAGTACGAGGGGCGTTCAAAAAGTATTGCCTACTCCTCTTGTTTTCTGTATTTATTGACTCTTCAGGAAAATGAGGCGATTGCTCATGAAGAATGGAATGTGGACTTCTATTTGGTATGATTTCCCCCTTTCTCTGCGTATCATATCGTAGGGGAGGAACATATTTATTGGACCTAGTTATACCCACTGAGCTCTGCCACTACAGAGTAGCTGTTGCAGGTGACATAATGAGATGAACCGACATGATACTTTGCACTCTCCTTGAATGTATACCGAAGTCTGTTCGTAGTGACTTCTTGAATTTGTGCTAGGACTCTTTCCCTGAGACAACTACTAATTGCCAGTAGGCTGTTCGCTCCAGAAAAGGGTAAGTGACCGCACGTCAAGCCATCGTGCGATCTCTGAGAAATGTGCTCTCTTCTCGAGGCCATAGTTGAAGAGGATTCATATGTTGGCGTGCATGAGATAGCTAATAGTGTTGCCATCTCGACGGGGACTGCCGAGACCATCCATTACCCCAATCTCTGAATGAGGAAGATTTGTGTTAGATTAGTGCCCCACACGCTCACAGTTGCATAGGAACAGGAACGGAGGAAAATTTGTAGTCAGAACGTCACTCGAGTTGCAAAGACAGATTCAAAGCATTCTGCCTAAGTTATTACTGATGACAGAAACTGTATTTAGTTTTTTAGGCCAATTAGTTAGAAAGCAAGCACACACGACTGGAAGTGATTCACGACCATTCTCTCCAATATGGCAGAAGGTGATGTACAAGGTGCTTTATGGCATTTTTTTCATCCCTAAAATGCCTAATAATTCACGTTCTAGCTCCAAAAGGGATACTTATTATAGGGCGATTCTAGGATACCGTAATACTCTAAAAAGTTGAAACGGCTATCAGGAAGAGATAAGAGTCTGCATGAGGAAGGCTGAAGCTTCTGCTTGGCAATAGCCCAAGTGACAGGTCGGAATACTTTACAATCACTATTGCTGTACATAGTTTGACGATGACCCTCCCCCCCACTATTGATCCGATCTCGTCTTGAGCTACTTCTCGTTATCAAATATCAAGTCTGAGCCGACAGGGAAGCACCCTGGAATTCAGAATGATCTGGAAGGTACAATTCTCCAGTGCTCAAAACTGTACTCAGATAAGACGATTCAAAATGCAATCGTCTCTGGATTTCCACGATTAAACTCTGCAACGAGATAGAACAGGAGTACGTCGAACGGGTGGTGCGATGAATACATCTTAATAATGGCCCGTATGCAAGAACCTATCACTTGATAGCCTATTACATGGTAGCTATCATGATGGGTATCAGGCGATGGGTCTATTATTTGCTCAGTTCCGTATGCAAGAACAAATTATAGGTATCCATCGTGAGGCCTATTACGAAAGGTACCTTCATACCTATTATTATAGGTATTTTATTCCTATCGTGATAAGTATTCGTGAATCTTCCCGATGACAACCTCCTACCCATCGTCTCCCGCCCAGGAACAATGCCATGCGTATCTGCTCACATGACTTACTCGAGTGTTGTGTGATGGTTTAACGGTATTAATCTGACCCCGTTTACCAGACTAGTGCTTCAATTCAGACTGCCGTGGCTCGATACAAAGAATTCTACGGGATTTAATCTATCTCAGAGTGACTGCGCTCAGCACAAGTTGCGACGGTTCACATAATTGGGTTAATAAAATGCACTGCAATCCACCCTGGTAGCTCGTTATAAGCAGAATAAACAAGCTCTGGATCATAATAGATTGATTCGATTCCTAACCTGAAACCCTATCATGATAGGTATAAAATGTTTCTGCATACGGCCAACCAATCAAACTTATCATACGATACCCCCCAAAATAGCTATTTTATCGGTTTTATACGTTCTTGCATACCAGCCATTGTCTCATTCGCGAAAATTGAATAAGGAGGCAAAACTTATTGAACGCCCCTCGTAAGTTCTTCAATTTATTATCTTTCTCTGCAGGTAGCCAGCATATTCTTCCAATTTGAGATGCATTTCTGGACGATTTTGAACGGTAGGAAACGCTGGACGTGACACATTCTTCGATAGAAAGCCGCAATTCTGACCAAATGGAATTTGTCGCATTCCTCCTTCAAGACCTTCATAATTTTAAATTCAGAATATTCAAGTTGACTACCAGGTGAAGCCCGAAACTTGAGTGCGTGGTGAAGGGGAAGATGCCCCCCAAAAAATCACATACGGTCTTGAGAACGTGTTAATGCCGATGAGCACGATGAGGACAACCACCGTTCGTGGAAACATACCTGAAATATCCAATTGTCGTGTGGAGCACCTTAAAAGTGGACTTTTAACGTTAACTTTAGGCCGAAAGCAAGGGAAAGATAATTTAGTACGAGAGGTAAAAGGAAGGGTCCGGCCTCGCTCCACCAACAGGACAAGCCGTCTAAGGAGACGACTGATGACAAGTATAAAAGCGGTGTTCAAACGACAAGGACGACGAGTATTTAATTAAAGTTAAATTAAGAAAGAAAATAAATATCACAGATAATGGATTGAAGACGTGGAGGACTGTTACCGTCACTGTTGGGATGCCACAGAAGACGGCGTGAGACGGCCGGGGATAGACGAACAAAGCGAGCGACCGACCACGGCGCGAGACGGCCGAGGAGAGACGAAAAGGCGAGACACGAGAGCACACGTCCGACCGCGACCAAAAACGTGGAACGGGAGACAGGCCTCACACGGCTGCTGGGGACGGACTCACGGGACTCACGGGACGGACGACCAGGGGCGGCAGACGGGACGGCGTGACCGGATGTCACCTCACACACCCCCAAAACACAATAGAGAGTTAATGGGAAATACTTCTCCCGTGGGCATGGCCCATACGGCACCGCAGTCATCATAACGACCCGCGGGAGCTCCGAGGCTCTAATACTCTTATTCGATCTTTAATATTTTTACTCGTATGACACAAAGGACGTTCGTAACAGCGACTGAACCCAGACGACCTTTGTCGAGCGGGGTCAAAAACGCGTCGGCAACCCCACGGCACCGTGTCGAGTCGAGTCGACCTGGGACTCGGCATGCTTCTCTGTGGCCTGGGAAGGCAGCAGTTAAGGAAACTCATGAAAACGCGTCGTCGTGACTCGAGTCGATTTTTCACGAGTCGACTTCAGCTGGCAAGGGATCCATATGAGACCTGTGCCGAGCACGCCCATACTCTGGTTTTGAATAACTATTCAAGTTAATGAGACAAAGTTTGTCCACTCTTGCACGCTGTAATTTCCCGGATTTTGCTCTCTGTCGACAACGACATAGCATTGCCGTCGGTTTCTTTCGGGTTTCGTATCTCTCATTCACCCTTTTCATCCTTTTCCGCATCTGTTTGTTCTGCCACCACCAGTCACATTTATCCTGCACGGCTGAGGAATACGGCAGAATCGCCCTTTCTCGAAAGTCGGTCGATACGGTAAAAAGATAAAAAAGACCCACACACGATTAGAAAAATAGCGGCGTTTCCACATCGCCTCGTCGGGATACCTTGGAGACCCATTTCATGCCGACGGCAGCGATGGCAAGGATGACGACGGCGGTGGCACACCCGACGATCCTCGTGTCGTTGTCCCCTCCGTCGAAGATCACCGTGTCGTCGAACTCCAGTCTGAGCAGGTCCTTGAGGGAGTCGCAGAACCCGATGACGTACATGGCGCACGCGACGGCGTTGGCGATCGTGAACATGAGTCCGATGGCCCCACCGAACTCTGCTCCCAGCGACCTCGAGATCATGTAGTAGATCCCCCCTATAGAGCAATCACGTGTTTGTCCCACTCGACGCCTTCTCGTGGACGTCGCCGAGCCTTGCGAGGGACGACGTGCGAGGGTCACCACGTGAGGCTTTAGACCAGGGGTCGGGAACCTTTTTGGTCACGTGAGCCATATTAAGATTGAGCTAAGTGCTCGTGAGCCAAAGACTTTCAGAATAACAATTTTTCTGGAGGTTGGAAACAGACATGTGCATTCTTTGATGCATGAGAAAAATGAGGAACGACCATGATTTTTAGCCACGAGTCATGAGCCAAACTCTTCGGCTCGTGAGCCAAATTTGACTCATGAGCCATAGGTTCCCGACCCCTGCTTTAGACGGAGTTCGTTCCTCTCTTTCCAGGTGGCAATTCCAGGATGTGTGACGTTTCGGTGAAAGTATGTGTTCTCCATTTACTTTAGCCTTGGGTCGTACCTCTGTGCTTTCCGAGTCGGTTTAACGAAGACGCCGCCGTGTTACGGTCGCGACGAAAAAGAGTCCTCTTCGAGAAAAATTCCGCGAACGTCGGTCGTAACTGGTCTTCCTGCAGGGCACAGACTCTCCCGAACGTTCCTTCAGAATTCCACGTTCATCAATTTTTTTTTCCCATTTCCTCGCTACGACTTCCGGATCAGCAGTGGGGAACTTACACCGTCCCTGCCTTTTTTCAATCCAATCGAAACTCGATATCGATAGTTGTACTGATGTAAGCAGAAGCTCATCGTGGGAAGAATAGTACTTACACGCAAACTTCACACTTATTGCTTTTGCCTCCTAGAAAGTTCGAAGTAAACCCATCCAATAGACTCACGTGATGGCCAACGTCCTATTCACGATGTACCGTCCCAAGCACGGCTAAGGTTTCGGTGCCTGCAGGCAAAACGAATGGAACCGATGAGAAATACCTCCTTTGATCTGGCCGTTCGTGGCGATCGCAGACATGGAGATGCTGGTGATGATGGTGACCAGGTTGCACGCGCAGATGAGCACCAACCCCTCTCCTACGGGATGGCAAAACGAGCACCGCTCGACGACCTCGAACGGAGGGTGCGGGAAGATCGAAAGGAAACTCACCGATTCCGGTCTGACCGACGACCCAGGAGAGCCGGAGGAAGAGCATCACCCCCCAGATGTTCAGCAGGCAGGGCATCTGGAAAGGGAACCTCGAATCAGCGGGAACCCGGATGGAGGGAGGTCTTTCGGAAGCGACTCACCAGGACGCCTTCCATCCACCCCATCTTGTGGAGTCCCTTCTCCTTCACCTTCACCTGCTCGACGTCGTCTGGCATCTCCCTCGGCGTCGGCTGACGGGCAACATCCACAACGACTCGGTCACTCGTCGCCGTTCGCGCCGCGAGCGTGGGAGCTTACCATGGGAATCTCTTGGTACTCGGCGCCGTGGAGGTTGTCCAGCGTGGGCCTCTGGCACCCGGCCTGGATGCTCTTCATGTTGCGGTAGTGAGTCTCCCGCGGGAACGCCTCCATCGTCATCTCGCGCAAGGACTTGAGGCATCGCGTGTCGTACGTGGAGCTCTCTGGGAAATCACCAGCGCGTACGATTCATCGCCGACGAAAGCAAAATGTCGGCGCGGAATCGAGCCGATTTTCTCGCCGCTTCCTCGGTTACGATCGCGAGTACCGCGAAAGTAATAAGATCTTCCGAAGGTCTCGAGAGCATCGAGTGAGGGCTAAAGAGCGGTCGAGGCAGCTACGAGTATCTCCGACTCGCACTCGCTCGATCCGTTCGGACTGATTTTTTTTCGAGTCGTGCCGATTCTTGCTTGCTCTTCTCGGTGTCTCTGGAACGAGACCTATTTTTGGATGGAATCTTCGAGAACTTGGAAGGACCTCACGTCCGGTATGTATAGAGAGGAGGGAGATTTGGGTATCCCGAGCCTCTCGGAAGCGGCAGAAAAAGATTAAAATCCCAGTGATTCGAGGAGGCCTTCGTTCTGGTACGGTGGGGATTCCCAGGTCCAAGGAGAGAATCTCGCGTCGCTCTACACTCTTATCATGAAGGAGTAAAATTGCTCTCCTCCTCCGTGAGTAAAAACGCTTCCATCAGAAAGTGATAGGGATGTCGTGCAAATGCGAAAAATTCCTTATATACAGTGTGTCGCTATCTCTCTCGTACATGCACTGACCTACCTTAGACTGTACTGATTACATCACACGTCAGAGGGTGGACCACCTCTTATTGGTTCCTTACAGTAGGCCGGGATATCAATCCTTATCATCTCAACTTAATTGAGGTATGAAGGACCGAAGTTCACGAGCACTCCCTATGCATTCTAGAACATCAGCCGCGTTCCAAGGGGGTTCTCGATAGGAATATGAGCTTGTTTATGGCATGGACTCTATGAGTACGTCTTGAATATGTGGATATCAAATGATGAAGTGTTCGTGTTTATTGATTCCTATAATGAGACTTGGCGAGACATACGGTAAGGTACTAAACAATCCTGCTCGGGACGATTCCAGGGAAGAGGGAAGGGAACTTTTGTGTACCGTGCGAAAAGCGAGACCCTTATCTCCATCTAGTGGCTCGGCGAAGAACTTGAAGGTGTTCACTGCAATACGAGCGACGAGGGAGCATCTGGTGAGTAATAAGAGAGTAAATTCGAAAAACTCACGGTGTGCTCACGTTTTACTCCCCAAACGCTCGGAATTTTCTAAGAGTGTATTGTGAATAGACGCGAGCGTCGAGAGACACGCACGCGATGGATCCCACCCCCGCATCGTGCGACGCTCGAGGATCGCCGTCTCGACCACCCGAGATTCTCGCTCGCGATTCTCTCCTCGGAATCGTTCTCTCGGGTCCGACCCGCATTCCCGATGCGAAGCCGGAGAGAGATCCGAGCGGACGAATCGCCGGGGCCGTGAGGCCCGGAGCGTCCGCTTCCTCGCTCGTGCGAGGGAGATCGATGCCGACGACGACGACGATGCTCGCGATGTCGTTTTGGAGACCCCGAAATTCTCCATCTTCTTCGCGTCTGCCCGAGTCGGCGCGAACGGAGACGGCAAACGGCTTCGTGCCGGTTCGGAATGCGATCCGGAATCCATCGGCTTTTCAATCTTCCTCGGAAATTTCTTTCTCTCTACTTTAATATTGCAGGGAAAGAGGCCTTTCGTGTTCGAGGACGAGGCAGACCGAGGACGAGGCAGACCGGTCGTCTGTCCGATCTTCGAAAGAGCTCATCATTTTTTTCGGCCGTAATTTTTTAAAATGCAAAAAAAAAAAGCGGCAGTTGCCTCTCGGTCGAAGCGGACGGACGCACAGAAATCGATTCCGTCCGGAATTACCGACGCGAAAAAAAAATCCGGTCGCAATCTGGAGCGATTGGAATTCCGTCGGATCGGCATATCGCAGCGGGGGATTACAAGGACGAATCCGAGGCCGGAACGAGAATTATTTTCCCACGGAAATCCCGAATCCGGGTGGACTTATTCAGCCGCACGATTTCCGAGGCTCGCAGGGCTCCAGGAAACTCCATCGCGGACGGCCTTGCGCACTGCGAGGGGGGGCGAGGGGGGGGGGGGGGGGAGGGGGCACACGAAGGGCGAAGCTGCCCGCTTCCCATTCGGTCCGTGACGGGGCACGAAACGAGCGAATCAAAGTCGGGTTCTCATGACCGACGGCAATGAATTCCGTGCCTCTGCGTGACCGGGTAAATCCTCCCTGCGTGCAGATCACTAAATTTAACATTTAATCGACGCGGTCGTGATCGACACCACGGTCGTCACTAATTAATTAACGACCGAGTTTCTTCGAGCGATATCGTCGTCGAGGCTCTCGAAACGGGCGAAATCGTGGAACTTTTCGTTTCTGGAGACGACCACGATTTTCGTTTTCGAGCCCCGCACGTTTCGACCGGCTCCAAGGCATCTGGACCCGATTCCGTCTCGTTTCGGCTCGCTCGCGACGGCGCTCGACGGTCTCGTCTCCGTTTCTTCCCGAGTTTTCCTCTCGTCTCGTCTCGCCTTCGGGCCTCTCGATGGAACGCGGCGCAGACTCGGGGCCGCGAGCGATGCGCTTGTTCGCGACATCGCGAGGTCCGCTCGCTGCTCGCCGTCGCAGCGTTTCCGTCCGCGACGACCGTGGCCGCCGAGCGACGGTGGATGCCGAGCGACGGTGGATGCCTTGCTCCTCCGGAGAGGCCGGAATCCGTCGGTGTTCCTTCTCGACGGAATCCGGTTTCGCTCTCGCCGAACGTCTAGCCGGAAGGACCTCGACCGCTCTGGTGTCTGTCGCGTCCGACTCCGACCGCGACTGCTGCCGTGAGACTCCGATGGCAGTGACCTTTGCGCGATTCGCTCGATTGCCAAAGCGACGCTTTTCTTCTCTCGACGAGCAAAAGCCAACCGAGTGCCGACGCCTGCTTCGGGGGATGATAAAATATTGCGATCGCAGGTCAGAGTGCGGAAGCCATCGGGCCCGATTTTGCAATTTCACGTCCTATCGTCCACACCGAACCGGTTGGCAATTTCTTCCGCCGTTCGCGTGCTCGTCGAAGGCACGAGATTTTACGGGAATTTCTCACAGACGGCGACGTACGCACGATGGAAAGATTCGTACGCGGAGAAAATTTCCCCCGACGTTGACTTTTTTTCTCTCGCGCGACGCACGAGCGCGCATCGCGGCGCGAACGACCCGAAAATGCGAGGAGAACTGACCGGTCGGGCTCCCGTCGCCGGGATCGGAGGCTCGCTCCGAGATGCGGGAATAGACCCGATTCACCTGGAATCGACGGTCGGAGATCGGCGGAGGGGGCGGAGGGGGTTCCCCCGCACCCATGGAGGGGATCTCCTCCTCCGTCTGCTCTCGATCCGTCATCCCGGGGGTTCACGACTGGAGGTCACGACGCGGACGCACCGGCGAGGGACTGCGACGTGTGGTCCCGGCGAGGGAGGTTGGGACGTCGGGAGAGGGGAGGAAGCGGGGGCCGCGCACGCGCCCTGGATTCCTCGCGCCCGACGTCGGCACGTTTCCTTCTTCCGCTGGAAAGTGGACGGAACGCGTTGGCGGTTTTGGCATCGGAGGTCGGAACGAGAACGATGCAGGGGAGGCAGGGTGCACGGATCCTGGAAGATCCCTCTCGTGACGTCGCATCGTGGATTCCGTCACTCTCTGTTTCCTCCGTTTTCAGCGTTTGGAATGTCTACCGACCCATTCGATAGGAAGCAGAGAGATGTCACGAAGGTCCACGGGTACAAATGGGGGAAGGCACTGCAGCGATCGCTAAGTCGTGTGCTTTTACTACGATCGAGTGTTGGAACGGCCATGAGAAAACTTTACGAATGTTTGAAAAGATCTCCGGCGTGTTCGGTTCATCGCTGCATTTCCACATCGGGTGGGGGGGATTTCGTGGAAAGCAAACGTTAAGGTCTGTGGAGCCATACCCGTGTAAAGGGATTCTTTCAAAAGAAATTCTGGATTCCACGAGGCTCGAACGCGTGACGGACGAACCTCGTTGCAAAAACGGCTTCCAGGGAAGCGAGAAACTGGTGATCGTATTTTCCGTTTCGGTTCCTGGAGGACGCGTCGCCATTTCTCTTCGCGAGCGTTGTCGAGTCCATCCAATGAATGCCGTGTCGGCCAACTTTGCGTCGCTTCGGTCCTCGAATGCCTTCCGAAAAGGTCTGTGCAGGATTCCACGACCGTCGTTCGTCATTCGATCCTGCCTCGACGGGTCGTGGCACTTCTCCCGACGTCCACGACAGGGTCGATATTCTCGTCGAGTCGACGATCACGACAGGTCGACATTCACGGGAGGCAGCGCCTCACCTTGCCGACGGTTCGATCGGAAGGCGTCTCTCCTCTCGCCGTAAAAGCGGAAGCGCGGAAGAGACCTCGAGACCTTAGCAACAGGCGCGCTTTTCGCAACGGAGGGACCGCGAACTCACGGCTCATCGCATGTGCAGTCACGTGCGAGCGAAACGAAAGCGTCTCGTCTCGGCTCGATTCCGACGACTTCCGCTTTCGGGCCGACTCCAATTCGAAAACGACAAAACGACAAATATTCCGGTCGCCTCTCGATCGCGACTCGGCTCCGATCTCGTTTCGGTTTCGGTTCCGATCGGGATTTTGTCGCGATAGTAGTCACACGAGAGGAACTTCGGTCGGACCCGAATCCAAACTGTTACTAAAACTGAACTGCTACCGACTCTCGTTTTGAAATCAGCCTCAACTTCGACATGTTTGCGTTAACTCTCACTCCGTTTCCCCTCCTCCCTACCCCCCTTCCCCCCCCTACCCCCCTCCCCCCCTCTACTCCCCCATCTCCTTCTTCCTTCCCCGAATGAA